CGCAATATTGCCCTATTGCCTGTTTGGGCCTGGAGATTTAGAATTCAAGCTCGCCCCTTCTCTCCCCTCCCCTTCTGAAGGAGCTGTGCTGCCCTCTCTGTCTTATCACTTAGGCCACCCTCCCTGTGTGTTTGTACTCTGGACTGCCGAAGACAGGCCTGCACAGACATCCCTGCCTGGGCCTGCTGTTACTCCCATTTTCGTCCACCGTCCCTACAGCTGTAATGAAAGTGATGATTCAGGTGCTTAGATAACAAATTCTCTTTACAAATTTTTAAAATTATTATTATAAAGGTGATCTACAGTGGTTACAGTTATTTAGTCAAGTAATGAGTCATTTCTTTTTGGATAGTGTCCCCCCTTCTCACATTCTCTAGCAGTTTTTCCCTCCCATCCCCACCTCCAAATTGTATAGTTCATTTTCAACACAATGCCTAGTGAGTACCACTGCTACATTTGTTCACTCTCTGTCTCCACTTACATGTCTCGCTTTACCCTCCCAAAGACAGGTAAATGAACAAACAAGATAGAAAAGAAAAGCAGCAACAGAAAAAGCCTCATTTCCTTTTCCTGGAGTTCATTTTGATAAACATTTTTTATAATCATGCACGTAGGCCTTGAGCCTTTGTGTTCCTCTCCTAAGAGTCTCCTCCTTTGATCTCACTGTGCGTATAAGTTTTGTTTCTTTGCACTCTTCTGACTTAGGGTTCTCCTTTGCATCTTTCACTGTAACCTCCAGAGTAGAGAAGGAAGAAGCGAGAGGGGAGCTGATGGTCAAGTCCCTTTAGCCTTGTTCTTCTCCCCATGAGAACACTCCTAGAAGTGTGCTAGAAACAGGCAGGAAAGAAGACCTATACAGGCTGCTTTCTGGATCTTTCTATTCTCCTGCTGAGTAGCAGGGAACAAGAGTTACCTCTCGGGCTGGGAAGGTGGCTCAGCAGTAGAGTGCTTGCTTTGCAATGCATGAGGCCCTGGTTCGATTCCTCAGCACCACATAAGCAAAAAGAAAAAAAAAGCCGGAAGTGGCGCTGTGGCTCAAGTGGTAGAGTGCTAGCCTTGAGCTGAAGAGCTGAGGGACAGCGCCCAGGCCCAGAGTTCAGGCCCCACAACCGGACCAAAAAAAAAGAGTTACCTCTCTTGGGTTTTTGCCCAGAATTCCTGTGGCACACAGCTCTATCTGCAGAAATACTGGTTTAAAAGGGAAGGGAATGGGGCCCACATGGGAAATAATTGCTGTCCTTACAGGAGCACATCTTTCCTAGTGATAGCCATTTAATTTCACTTCTTTTCTGCCTGAGTCCTTTGCCTCTATCTTTTTTATTTCTTGAGAATTCTATCTTCATTAGCTGTCCAGTTAGTTGTAAGCCTTTGCTTTGGTCAGTCCATGATTCCAGGCTTGTTCCTTAGTAGGTTTTATTCTTGATGCTATCACATGCAGTCACAGGTTCCTGATTCTAGCTCTCTCAAAATAGGAGGGGAAAAAGAGCCATTTCTTGCTCAATTCTCAGAAGGGTCTTTCATTTAGAAAAAAAAAAAAAAAAGCTGGAGTATAAAGTAGGTCTGTTTACCTAAAGTTCTGTGTTTGAAAGTTTTATCCAACTTAGCATTTAAAAACCCTCTGGAGCTTGGGCACTGCTGGCTCATTCCTGCAATGCAAGCAACTCAGGAGGCGGAGATCTGAGGAGCATGGTTCAAAGGCAGCCCAAGCAGGAAAGTCCCTGAGACTTTTACCTCCAGCAAACCATCAGAAAACTAGAAGTAGCACTGTGACTCAAAGTGGTAGAGTGCTAACCTTGAGCAAAAATTGCTCAGGGACATGTCCTACTACTGACAAATAAAAAAAAACCCAAAACCTTCTGAAAACCAGAAGTAAATAGTAAATATATTCAACCTAGAAAAGTAAAAATTTGCCAAGCACCAGTGGCTCCCCGCCAAAAAAAATAATAATAATAAAAATTTGGGCTGGGAATGTGGCTTAGGGGTAGAATACTTGCATAGCATGCATGAAACCCTGGGTTCGATTCCTCAGTACCACATAAACAGAAAAAGCCAGAGGTGGTTCTGTGACTCAAGTGGTAGTGTGCTACCCTTAAGCCAAAGTAGTTCAGGGACAGCGCCCAGGACTGCCCTGTTTCCCCCACACACACCCCCTTCCAAAAAATAAAAATTTATGAGTCATGTTTCTTCCAGTATTTCAGTAAGAGTTTTAAACCTGATGTCCTGGGCCTTCAGGAACCTAGTTTTCCTGTAGAGTGCTCTGTGAAAGATAAGTCAGAAACGAGAACTATTATTTAGAATTTGTTATAACTCACAATTATTACAACACAAGAATATGCTTTAGTTGTTGATCTTAGAGGCCTAAGGCAATATTAGGATTATTTAGACAAAACATAAGACTCTCCAGTGTAGTATAGAGATGGGAGGCTTTTCCACCAACATTAGCGATCAAATAGTCTACTTTCCTTGGCTTGCTGTTTATTTAAATAGAAATAAAATAGGTATCTTACCCTGCTTAATACCCCTTGAGTGACTTGGTAATACAGTTTTATTCCCCTGCAGGGTATTTTTTTTTGGGGGGGAATGTTTTTTTCCTAGTAATTAACAACTATTAGGTGTTTGTTAAATGGTGATGCATTGCTGAGCCACTGTGTTTATGTAAGAAGTGTACAGTTCTTATATTTCCAGCATTTTCATGTTGCAGAATGGTCTTTGAGGTTAAATTTGAGTTTGCGGCTGGACGCCAGGTGGCTCACACCTATAATCTAGCTACTCAGGAGGCTAAGATTTAGGGATTGCAGCTCGAAGGCAGCCTGAAGTCAGAAGTGGTGCTGTGGTCAAGTGCTAAGAGTCTTGTTGGAGCAAACGAGGCTCAGGGACAGTGCTCAGGCCCTGAATTCAGGCCCCAGGACTAGCAAAAACAAGAAGAAGGAGGAAAAGGGGAAGGAAAAGGAGGAGGAGGATGGGGGGGGGGGGGAAGGAGAAAGAGAAGGAGAAGAAGAAGAAGTTGTTTTATTTTTTTTCTGTTCAGTTCCTGCAGCAAGATAGGCAAGAAACTTCACTTTGAGCTTCAGTATTAATACTCGTATTTTTTAATATTCTAACTGAAATATATTTACCGCTAGTTGTTTGTTCAGTTAACAATGCCTGCCGTTTTGTTATCATTAAGTCGCAGCCCCAAAGCTTCTTGAACTTCTCCTGCCCAAAGCATTGAAGTCAGTGCTCCACTGTCTGCGGCTTTGGGGGTGAACACACCTCCCCGCTCCTTGGCTCTGGGGTGCGTGGGATGGGTCGGCAGTTTGTCTCTCCCTGTGCTCCCGTCGCTGCTCCCCAGTCCCTCCGGCTCCTTTAGTTTCCTTCATTGCACAGGAAAGAGAACTCTGTGTTGTTTGGAACTATCATGGGCAGTGGCAGAGTTCCTGGAGCCTAAGTGGATCCTAAGGTAGGAGTGAGGGTTCCAATCCCAAGGATAGCAGTGGCCCTGGGAGCGGGCTGTGGTGTGTGGGGTTTAAACAGCAGTAGCGTGCCTCCACCTATCTAAATCAGTATCTGAGATCCATGTAGCTAAGCTGGCTTCCTGAACTGTTTTTCAGGTCTGCAGTATAGGGAGGGCCTGCGGTGTTCGCTGTGGCCTGGGTGTCAGTCCTGTGCGGTGGTCATCGCAAAGCCGGTCTTACGTGGCTTGTGTGTGAAGCAGACTGACTGCTTTGTCTGGAGTAGTGCGTGCGGTGTTTTGCGGGGGGTGTTGCAGAGTGCACAGGCCTCAGGGTGCTGTTACACAGTGCGCCCCCAGGCCGCCATTGCCTTGGCAATGAGGTCCAACGTCGTGGACAGAGTGTAATCCTCCGAGTGTGAGGCTGAGGGAGTGTCAGTCCTGCCTGCCTCCCCACACAGGCGTCCATGGCGCGGCCTCTGCCGCCAGCTGCAGTGACGTCAGAAGCAGGGCCACCGCCTCCCCCCTGGCCATCCTCCCCTCTTAGCAGACCACATGCATCCCCAGCCAGCCCCTCGCTCCCAGCGCATGTGCCATTAAGGAGGAAACAAACTCATTTCTGTACTCAGAACAGAACCCTCGGGGGCCTCTGGGGTGGCTGTTTCCACCAGCACCCATGCAGTTCCCCGGCGGACGGGAGCAAGACGCTGCCTGCAGGCAGTGGTCTGGACCCCCAGTTTCAAGGCCAGCTGCACATTCCTGCTGGACACGGGCTTCCCGTGGCCCTGGTGGGTTCCAACAACTTGCCAGTGACTCACCGAAGCTCTGTACTGAAATTTACTTAGAGAAACACTCTTGCCACTTGGTTACAAGCGAGGCATGGTGCTGCACACCTGTAATGCACACACTTGGATCAGTAGTTCAAGGCCTGCCTGGACTACAAAAAATAAAAGGCAGGGCCAGGTATACGGGCAAGGGTGGAGCATGGGTGTATGGCCTCCAGGAAGCTTCATTTCCATCTCTCTGGAAGCTTCTAAAGCCAGCCCCTTCGCATTTTTATCTGAGCACTTACTCCCTTGGCCATTAGGGCCCAGCTGCCAGCCTTTCCACTTACAGGAAGTGGGGGAGGGTTTATTTGGGTCTCTCCAGAGCAGCCTGAAGCTACCCAGGGCGGGGCCCACCACCAGTCAACTCATCAGCAGAAGGATTTAGAAGTGCACTAGGAAGTGGACAGCAACCAGATAGTCCTGAACACAACTTCATGTTAGGTACGGTCATAGGAAATACCTAGACTA